CCTATCTGGAACCCGCTATTAGGACCATAATGATATGTTGAGGCCGTTATCGGGATGGCGGGTTTTACTCGCAACTGTTGCACAGGTTTGTCTATCCCTTAGCTCTCTCAGCTGAGAGGCCACAACCTGTCATGTGATCTCAAGGCACTTAACTCGCAATCGCGTTCTACAATCTATATATTATGATTGAACAATTCTTGCATCATCTATAATTTTACGTAGGACTTCAGTTATTGTGGCAATACTTTGATGTGAGCGATTTCAATCATAAAGTCACACAATCTTCTAGTCTCATTCATGGAATTCGATAAACACCATCTACAGTCATGTTTCATTTGTACCCCACCCAGTACTTCGGAAGGCCCGAGACACACTTGTTTTCTGCCGGTTAAAACTTCCTATTCCAAACCCGTGAACGAACTAACTATATAGATAACTAAGTCGATCACGTAGGTACATATTGCGAGCCACCAAGACTCTCCCTACGCATCTCAACTCTTGCCAAACATCAAGTCAGCACACTCCACTGGTTTTGTGGACGGAATCTTCCACCTTCAAGCTGCGTGTAACCTTACATTAGAATAATGTACGGGGTCGTGTTCGGAACTATCATTTATACGGAGCTATTCTGAATTCGGACTAGTGGGGTTATGATTAGGAAAAATCGAAGTGTAGGTGGTGACACCAATTTCCAGAAGTAATACTATACCTAGTAAAGAAGGCTGCGCACGTATCCATCGGGGCTGAAACCATAGCAACAACGCCCAACCAAAAAAGTGACTCAGCAGCTTCAATGCCTTTCTTAAAGCTTCAAATTCGAATGCTACATATATCGACAATGCTTTATACATGCATTTCACATTTCTTTTCATCTTGCTACCCAAGAGCGGGGAATTGGCGGATGTGAGCGGCAACTTAATGCCACAACCATTTCAATGTTGTGTTGCGCCGAAACTAGACGTGTTGTCGTTGACCTAACCATCGTCCTATAGGTATTGATCCACAACATCCTGAAAACTCAGAAATTCAATCAAAAATTGACCGCCGTTCTGCCAAGAGTGAGTTGGTCAAATAACGCACGAAAATGTAGTGCTTAATTGGCGTACCAGTCTACCTATATAAGATTGGATGGATCTGTTGGATGGCTAACCTAGGTGCATTGATTAATTGCACAACAAAAGACGTGAAATTTTTGAAAGCGCATTAATGTAACAGGTCGAAACACTGTAGCAAGGGACCTAGAATTTTGGTACCGTAATCTTAGCTCTCTTTAAAATTGGCGAGCTTTCGAAACGAAAGTCTCCTTCACATCAGCTCTCCTCCGAAGATTGGATGGGCCAATAAGTGTAATCTTAGGTTTCTCTTATGATCGTGGCCCTTCAAGTCACGTTGTCGAGATAGTATCCCTGCTATCTATATACGAAAGTAATTTCCCTACTAGGTGAGAGCAAAAGCGCCAAATTCAGCTCCTAATTCTCACTAGTGCTATGACACCTGATACTGGGACTGCGCTAGGTATACTCCGATGCAGTTCTCGACTAGACAGGGAATGTGTAGTTCTCGCCTTTATTCCCTCTATAGTCTTCAGATAACCCATTGTCAAAGTTTCTTGGAATGTCATGTTTCCCGAAAAAGTAGAGGAACATATCCCGCTGAAAGATGAGCGACGCTGCGTGATGCCAGGGGGTTGGATTACAGTTGTAGATAGTGTCGATGTATAGATCTTTTTGGAATTTTTGGCAATTGACATCGTCCGGCACGCCACACCGTAATTCTTTGGGGACTTCCTTGGAACAGGAGAATTCAGGACTGCCGCATCTATCCTTCGGCCTTGCGCATGCACGAATGCTCTCAGCCAATTCTCGTGCTAAGGCTTCCACCTCCGCAATACAAAGGCCCTGAGCCCTACATAGTAAGGGTCCCGCTTTACAAGCCTTTGGATCCGGGGGATATCAAACCCCAGGTCCAGGGCCAGAGCGGCGAAGTATGGTTGACGTTCTTCCACACCGAAGTCACGCATTGCTGCTAGAAACACCATCAAGTGCCCAAGCTCCTTCCGCAGGACCGTTGTTTCATTAGCATGTCTGAATTTATTCACCCCTGTCTGGATTCTGAGTATCCCTGGTGACTGGTTCATATTAGTAGAACTCTGGTAGAATGACTTTCGAAAAGCCATCTTTCTGCTGGGAGGTAGTAGTGGGCGGAGTGATTGGACGCATGCTTCTAGATAAAGTGTATCCTTGAAAAAAGTGAAAAAGGATGGGACACGTCCCTGTATTACGAGAAGTCGAGGCAATATTTGGTAAAAGACAGTCACTCTGTTAACATTTGGGAATATCCGACCCTTTATTGCCAGTTGCTCTATAACGCTCGCGTCGTAGGTCGCTTCTGGTGTAAGAGTTTCCAGTAGTTTCATAGTGCTACTGTCCACGAGACTGAAGAGGTGAGTATCATGACAAATAAATCTCCAAGTTTTAGAAATATATCGAATATAATGTGCTAACTCCTACCTCACTAGTCAAATCATAATACTTCTAAGATGCGGGTCAGGATCATACCTCTGGGCAATTCATAGTAAATAAGCGGTTGAACGGCCCGAATACGGAGTCCTCCCATAATCCCACAAAGGGGAGGTTATCGTCGAAAGCATATTTTAAGTCCTTGTACTTATCTCCGCCAAGTTTCTTAGGGACTTTGGACGTCTCTATTTTCAGCCGGGCTTTCCAGTTCTCTACCTCGGCGTGGTTTCCTACTCGCTCATGGAACCTAATGCTTCGGTAGATCTCACCATCAGTGAGCCTATTTGTTACTAGATATGAAGTGTGGTGTATTTCTCGCTGATCCTTTAGAGTGGGGGTTGTTTCGGATGATATGACAGAATTATTAGATAAAGGGAGAAAGGCGCAGTTAGAGTCATCTTTTCTTGAATGGGCTAACAACATGTTGGTTAAATTAGACCGGTTGCAGACAGTACTCTCAGGGGGAAGAGAGCAATATAAATAGGTATCCTAGACCCATATTCAAGCAACTTTCTCACTGTATCCTTCAGCTAAATTTTCATTAGCGAAAATATTTATTTCTATTTCATGCCTCCTAAAGTTCATTCGTGTGTGGTAGCAGGCGCGTAAAAGTTCCTATAATCCAACAGCATCTATTTTTAGTTCAATCCTCGTAAAAGAGGGAGACTTAAGCGCCTACTTTCAGGGTTGGCCCTCCTGCGTGCCCTTTCAGGGTCCATTAGTTGGTTGACGCCAGAAACGGCTGCCTTTCGACCCGTAACTTTGGACGATGAGCCGCCGCTTGACCGCCCTCCTGTCCAGTACCCCTCTATTTTGCACCACCCAGCACTCTTAGTCACCCTCCGGCGATGGAGCGACTTGCAGATTTGAGGGGTTCCATGACGAAATAATCACACCATCATTCTATGAAATTCTGAAATACTAATAGTGTCTGATTTACAATTCAGTTAGAATCCAACAATCCACACGTCGTTTCGATTTCTTTCGTATACTACTAAGAGCATATGAGTAATGCAACAACTTTTGGAAATCTATATCCTGTCAAGCAGGGGTAATATCTACTAGGCGAACTAATTGTGATGGAGTATATATTTACCGCTTCTAACACTTCCTCCATCACTAATAAAGGCGGGGGTTGGCGTGTGAATTCAACCAACCAACTTTGTATGCCTTGGGTATGTTGTGACACCTAACTGGGTCTAATGACCTGTTACTCTTGCAGGTACTGAACGATGCACGAGACCTATTTCCTCTTCCTTAAGGTGTCCAATCAAGCAGTTACAGCGACAATGTTTGGTATGCCCTTCATGTGGACGCCTTCTTGGCGGTGCCAATATGGCTGTCCTCTTCGATACTCGGAACCGCCTATGATGTCGTCCCAGATCAAGTACGCGGCATGGAGTATCTCGGTCAACCAGCTAATAATACCTAACTGGGTAAATTCCTCATCACTAAGCGGTCGCTGTGCTAGCTGATGGCAGGTATCATCACCGTCAGGCCTCGGTTGAGCTTCCCGCCGTTAAGATTTGCTTCGAGACACTAACAGGGGAGGTGAAATTAATATGCAGAATAATGCAAAATATGCGATTCTCTAATACATTACTTACTTGGAGCAAACGATCCACGTGGGCTTTAGGTGTGCGTCTCAAAGTCAGAACCTCTTCGAGAGTTCAAATAAGGGGTGGTAGAATTGCTTGGAACTTCTCCAAGTCCGTCATGTTGCGGCCTATCCACAGGACTCTTGCAGAAATATTCCTTAGTGATTTATAGCGATAGCAAAATTGGCTGCATTTCAAATAGCCCAAAAAATCAGTTAGAAACGTACACACGCACAAACATATATGTCTTATGGTAAATAGGGGTGCGTCACTTCGGATAATCAACCGGAACTGCGGTGTACGAAATACGACTTTTCCGGTAAAGTTCAAGCTAGGGGCCAGGTATGAGTCTCGGCATTAAACAGGATCTTATTCCTATAGTTATCATTTAGCGTACTTGGAACATTAATTGTAGACGTGAAAGTGGCAAAGTGGTGTGGCACTGCCGCCTTTATTTGATGCTCTACAGGAAGTCACAGTTCCTTGCGTCGAGCACTTGACATATTCAGTATGCAGTAGCCAGGAAAGCAGGATTATCGTAAACTCTCTTAATAATTCTGGATACGTAATCACATCTACTAGGCTGCATTTTCGGACCGCTATTATCCTGCCTGGGATAGGAATCCTGATTGTGTTTATCGGATTAACTCTTATTAAATAACAAAAGTCATTGCGCAAGCGACAGTTATTTCTCGTATTTTCCTACTAGATTCCCATTATTCCTAAAATAATTGATTGCGCGCGAATAATATTATTGCATTCTGAACTGATCTAATCACCAATACAAGAATGACTCTACTATTGCAACGAGCCAAATTGACATGGCTTAAGCCCCATACATAACACTGCCGCTCTGCCGTCCACGAAGACAACAAGACAACCATTACGAGTCCTCATCATATGGAGCCAGATACTGCTCATCTGCAAACAACTCCACCAGATGGTATCTCCGATGAGAGCTAAAGAGCATGATCAAACCAGACACAAAATTCCTTACAGGTGGCAACAGCTCCTCATCACCCTCGAGCATGCGATATACGCCGTGGACAAGCTTCCACATAATTAGTCAGAGAATATAGCTTGCAATAAGAGATTGAAACTAACCAGTGGCGTATGACTTGTTAAATGCCTCAATACATCCAACTGGCGCATATGATGTGTTTCGGCAAAGTTGGACACAAAGTTTCCTTTCTCATCGGCAAGAATAAACTCCTTGTAGTAGGAGAGTATGTCATTGGTAAAATCGGAAATAACAACGAGCTCCTTGACGACAGGGACATATTTCATCATATACTTCTCTTCAGGGAACAGGCTCTTGGGAAAGCACGCGTGAACCATCATCTCCGCTCCCCCGACCTTGTGGCGTAAGAAAATTGGCATCAATTTCGAGCCGGGGGGAAATTGGAAGTTTGATTCGAGCATCTTATGCTCCATGATCCGTCCGTTGACGTAGTCCAATGCACTTTTAACCATTGCAGAGTGGCAATACTGCCCGTAGTAGCGGGATAAACTGCGGAGATGTGCGTCGAAGCCCGCCAGGAGAGGATGGTTGTGGCCCTTGTTCAGGATAAAGCTAAGTGGACACGTTAGAGAGGAGTTAAAGTGCCCAGGATAAACTTATTACTTCTGGTTGAATGCTTGCAAATCCTCCATAAAGCCATCTGCAATATCGTCCACTAGGAACATGTACAGAAAATGGATGCCACAGCAGACTCTGATATCAAAGGGAAGAAAAGTATAAGTCTGCTGCACATACGTCACACCAAGCTTCAACTTGGCGAGAAACGCAGCTTCAGTCTCTTTCCCCATATTTCGGCTTGTGATATAGTTCCAAACAGCTGCCTCAAGCTCATGGTCTTTTGCAAATGGTGTGGTGCGGTCAAACTGGGTATCCTCGAGGAACTGTCTGATGAGTTCCTTCACTTCATTGACGTGAGCAAATTTGGTGCTGGCCTGGGAGGGTGTGGCAGTCTGGGTATTAACACCGTGATAATTGAACATGCTGTCTGTGCTCACAGTCATAGTGAAGGATTGGGAGATCAACGACAAAGTGATAATTGTAGACTTGATTGAGAATTGGGATACTATAGCACTTTGAGTGTGTACATAATTTGGACGAGAGGCTATCTTTATAGTCTCTGAGGATACATAGGCTTCTAGTGCTGAGAAAGAAATCTAAAGAACCTTTTTGAAAATCTGGTCACAAGAAACATTATAGCCAAGTGCGTCTGATAAGCCCTTGTATTGCATATGCAGTCTCTTGTTTTTATCATACTGTTGCCGCATTGGTCCGCCGACATGCATTACCAGTAAAAAGACTGGCATTTCAGGACGCCTGCATCCCATTACCTGATATATCGTTCCGATGATCACGATCATCATTCAGTATCAGCTCGCAGCTAGCCATTACCGTACTTTTTAAGCCCGATACTACCAAGAGTAAACATAATACTTTGCTTTAGACTTTGTCTATATGACTTACTTTACAAACGGCATGTGCGACTCCATTCGCTGCGGCATCATTTGTCAAGGGACGAAATCGTGTCATCCCTAGATAGTACCTACCGATGGGAAAAATGTCATGCTGATAGATATGACTGGACACTCCATCTGCATCATTCAAGCATATGGTGAGGCATTTTCAATGCCATATTGAAAATTCCGTCAAAGGCGCCCTTGAATCCCCTTTGAAAACATTGGAAAAAGGGTACCTACGTTGTGCAAGTCGTTATATTTGCCCTTACGAGGCTGGTATGACGCTATAGCTGTATATGAGACTTTTATGTTTTACAGTGCAGGACGCTACCAAGACAATGAGGGATTTTCGAGCCTACTACTTTAGCCTATCCATTCAATATAAAACACGGGGAGTAACTCAAGCCTTGAAAGAACAAACTACACCCATTTCATTCTGCAAGAGATCTTCATCTATCTTCGCTACTTTTATGCACCCAAACAGAAAAGGCAATTACTGGCGCAGAAAACAAGATTTCATGACCATTGCGATTGGCACATCTCTATGAATCTAGCCGGAAAGGTCGCTGTCGTGACCGGGGCTGGCACAGGCATCGGCCGGGCGACAGCCATTGCCCTGAGTGGATCTGGCGTGAAAGTGATCATCGCCGAGATTGACGCAGCTACTGGCGTACAGACGGAACAGGAAATTAAAAGCCATGGAGGGCAGGCTGTCTTTGTTGAGACCGATGTCACAAGCTCTGAGAGTGTCAAGGCGATGATCGAATCGACTGTGCGCCATTTTGGAAAACTGGACATAGCAGTTAATAATGCCGCCATTTCCCCCGACGCCATGAAAATATCCGAGCTTGATGAAGAACGCTGGGCAAAAACACTTCAGGTGAACTTGACTAGTGTGGCACTTTGTCTGAAATGGGAGTTGCAGCAGATGATCGCGCAAGGCAGTGGCGGGTCCATCGTCAATCTTGCCTCCGGAGCAACGCTCAGGCCGCAAGCCACAATGCCCGCATACACTGCTGCCAAATACGGGGTTGTGGGCCTGACCCATGTTGCTGCGCTCGAGAATGGCTGCCATGGAATCAGAGTCAATGCCCTTGCGCCGAGTGCAACCATGACCGAGATGTTGGCAAGACGCTTTGATCTTGACGCGAGCCAGGATGACCTTGTTTCTAGTTTTGGACTATTGGGTCGCTTTGCAAGGCCGGAGGAGGTTGCAAATGCTGCTGTGTGGCTTGCATCTGCATCATCGTCGTTTGTGACCGGGATCAATATGCCTATAGACGCAGGCTAACAAGCAACTTTGTTTTTGTTTGGGAAGTAGTCCAGAATGACATTACAGGGACTTCTGTTTGCGAAGACTCGGTTCAGTCCTATTGGTGAAATCTACCCTACTGTTCCACAACAACGTTTCAATAAGGTTAATCACGGATGCAGTAACACATATAGAGTAGATAAGAGATTCCTCCAGTGTAACAGTCGCGTTTGTCTTACTCAAAAGCACTTGCTATTTAGTAACGGAGGAATGTAATGATGATGATGCAGGCCGCTGGTCGACAGAAGAGGAAAGTATTCGGCTAATGAGAGTTTGTAGATCAAGAGAATTAACGTAATTAACATGTTAACTTGGATACAACAAGTGTTGCAAGCAGTACTCTTACCCCTATTAGCAGTGATTATTATAATAATATTACTGTATAGTAATGTAAGCGTTGTAAACTGTAATTTTCAACTCTACCCTTAAAATCCCTCACTTTAAAACCCCACAAGTTGACGCTACTTGTGCGACATTCTGTGAAACATGCAGTATGCTGCCTATCACGAAAATCCCAATTTTATAGGAATGTTATGCTGTTTTACATATTCCAACTGCTGTTCGAAAGGGTTTAGATCATAAGGTCAATGGCGTCAGCACACATATACTAGTACATAAGTGAATCATCTCCTTCTGCACGGCAATCATTATTTCAACAACTTTTTGTAATATTATAATATTTATAGAGGCCTTTCCTACGTTGTCAAGATCCTGAACGAACCCTCAATTTTCAAATCAACCCTCAAAACTGCCAACATGACTGTTCCTTCTAACTCTCCAGACCAACTACCTGGTCTGGGTGACTTGACATTACAAATGATCGTATGTATTTTGACGGTTGGATGGGGTACATACCTAATATGGTTGGGAGTGTACCGACGTATGTGTGTCATGAACCCAACTTGAGCTCTTGGACTAACTCATCTTGGAAGTCTATATCCACCCTCTTGCCAAAGTTCCTGGGCCGAGAATGGCAGGTCAGTGTCCGGACTCTTGGTTGGTTGATATCTAACACCTTCAAGCCGTCACGCGGTGGTACGGATTGTACTACGACGTCTGGCTGGGAGGGCAATATTTTCTCAAGGTTGAGGAACTCCACAAACAATATGGTACGTCTCTATCATGAATTGGGTTTAAATGCTAAGGCTCATCTAAAAGGACCAATTGTCCGGATAAAACCAAATGAGGTGCACTGCAACGATCCCGAGTTTGTCGAAGTGCTGTTCACCGGTCCTCTATGGAAGCGGGATAAGGATCCATGGCTCCCCAGAGCGATGGCAGGTGAATTTGTCTATGCTCTCATTAAAACATGCTATACTTACGGATGTAAAAAACAACAGTTCCACTAGCAGCTGGTGGCACAATCTCACATGATCTTCACCGCAGTCGACGGGCGCCCCTTGGTCCGTATTTCTCCAAACAAAGCGTTCGAAAACAAGAGGTCATTCTCCAAGATACCCTGGAGAAGCTTCTGAGGCGGTTTGAAGAGCATCGAAATACTGGAACAGTAGTCACACTGAGCGAGGCCTTTGCAGCGGCCGCGGCGGATATTGTGACAACTTTCTCTTTTGGAAAGTCAACCAACTCTGTGGAAAAGAAAGATTTCAACGGCCCATTTTTCCAAGCTATAGACGCCAGCTTTCGGCTATCACATATTACGGCTAACTTTGGATGGGTCAGAGCTTTTCTGAGATCCCCACCCCCCCAGATTGTGACCTGGATCACACCTGCGCTGGCCCCCCTTTTTGAATTACATCAAGTGAGTTTCTCATTCAAAAATTGGTCTTCTTGTAATGCTGATTTTATTCCAGCAATGGAAGAGTCAGATACGTGACGCAAAAGCGCCAACTGAGAAACAAGTAACTACAATATTTGACCAGATTATGTGGGCTAAACTATCTCCATTGGAAAAAAGGTCTAAGAGGCTGCACCAAGAGGCCGAATTAATATTCCTCGCAGGCTTCTCCACCACTGGTGAATATTTACTTTTTTCTTCCTGCAGTAGCATTTTATTAACAAGAATTACTAGCGGCAACCTCATCTATGTTAACATTTGAGCTACTTGCCAACCCAGGTAAGATGAACAAGTTGAGGGCGGAACTTCTTCAGGCACTTCCACACACGGACAGTCCCTTGAGTCTCTCGGAACTTGAGAAATTGCCCTATCTCTCTGCGGTTATTCAAGAAGGAATTCGACTCCACCCTGGCGGCGCTCTTCGTATGCAGAGGATATCACCAGATAAGCCTCTCATTTATACCGATCCTCGCACCGGTACCACCACGACCTTTCCGGCCGGTACCTCGATCAGCATGGACGCTCCGTCAATCAACAAGAATCCCGAATTGTTTCCAAATCCAAGCGAGTTCGTTCCGGAGAGATGGCTCCAAAGTCCACACCTCAGCCGCTATCTACTCACGTTTTCCAAAGGGACAAGAATATGTCTTGGGTAGGTTCTTATCTTATCTGATGCCAGTTCACTCCTCGGCTAATGGAGTGCACTCTAGAATCAACTTGGCGTGGGGTATGCTCTACTACTTCATTGCCGGTGTCTTTCGAAACTATGGCCCTCCTACGGGAACAGACACCTCGTTTCCGACAATTGAACTCTATGAAACGGAGCGAAAGAAGGACGTTGATACTGTAGCCGAGTTCGTTATACCTGTCGCGGAAAAAGAAAGCAAAGGGATTAGAGTGCTCTTCAGATAAACTTTGCCTGTTTATCTGACGAAATAGAAAGGCAGAATGGCATAGTTGGTAAAAATGACAGCGGCAGCATTGATTTCTATTAAAACGCTGAAGCTTAAACAAAGGTTAATGGCGTGTGCGTTGACTGAAGAACATAATGTTGAAGCAAAGTGGATGGTTAATAATGCCCCAACGAGGGTGTGATCTTTTGATTGCTCACAAAAAAAATCATTGGTGGTGAAGTCGATTGTAAGAGTGAACACTTCGTCCGTCGCACGCTGTTTTACTTAGGTTTCCATAGCATTCCTCCTTTAGTTTGTCAGCAAAGGAAGGCATCGATGATAATGATATTGCGCAAAGTTAAGCCAAGAGGTTCCAAGGTTCGCTGCAGCCAGCACAGCGTAGATGATTCCCGGATTATAATACCCCATGGATAGTCCCAATCGCTTAGACTGAGAAACAGGATAGCCGGAAGTTTTCAAGTTGCCACAGACCAAGCCTATGAAGTTGGATAATCCTTCACCGTTCCAGCCTTCTCTTTCCCAGAGATTTCGTGCAAGGCTGAAAATAGGGGTGTTCGGCTGTCAGTCGGGTTATTTCTTGGCGGCTGTCTAGGTACGCACGAAGCACGGCGCTGTACACAATCTCTAAGTGGAGTATGCCTCGTCGGGGGCGCGCCCTGAGAGGGGGTATCTGCCCCATATGGTGGCACTTTGGAAAGCCATGACGGACTTCCTTCTGTGCTATCCGCGAACTGTTTCGCCCGTGTCATCATGGAAGCTAAAAGGAAATAGTTTTTTTTTTCTTTTTTCTTTTTTTTTAACAAATGGCACGTCATGCTAGTGTCATATCATTTGCTGGCTTCCCCGCAAGTGATTTGTCATCAAGATTTATTCCTTCTTTTCTCTTCTTTATGTTTAATATTCTTGTTATGAGCTGTCTATTAGTTGAATATTATGATAATTCTAGTTTAAGCCATCACAGTGAATTCCTACAGCAAGTATAGATGATACCGGTAAATTGTCGTCTCGATACAGCTACTGTGAGAAGGGTGTCAATCTCCCCCCCAAAATATAACCCCGGTCGGTATCTGCGGTAACTTTGCGGCGCAGCTCTGTTGGTTGGCCAACACTTTCCGACTGTTTTGTGACCCTCGCTGCTAAGCACGCATATCTTTGCCGACCTACTCGAAGGAACCAATTAGGAAAAAGAGTTGCCTGGTGTTGACTTGACATCCAATTCGTATACTCCATGTCCCAACCAAGCCAGGGTATTGATTCCAATATCTAGCTATCTCTCCTTGAACCCAACAAAGGTGAGGGAGATGAGTGCAAGATAAAACAAACAAGATGAATATAAATGCTGTGACTTGCAAATCCGAATGTAGATTAGCAGTAATATCTCAGGTTGACACCCGCCTCTCTTTGCGCTCACATGACTCAGGCAATGCGGCACTGAGATTCTGTAAGGATCGCATGGTTTCTATTGGGTAGTACTAGCTAACTTAGGCCACAAAAGTGAATATAATTACATAATCGGTGGAGCCCTCGCTTTTAGACCAATAGAAACCCTTTCTCTCTGTGCGCCCAGGACACTCCCTGGCCCTGGCCAGCCTCAGGCATCCACTCCCTGTGGAGTGCCTGAGGCCACTAAGGGATGCAAACCCTGCAAACCCTTCGGGACGACAGCACGATTCTACAAGATCTACCTACTGGTAAATTATCGCGTCCCGTTTCGAACTATAGTTTGCCCTGACCCCCCTCTGCCAATCAAAGTGCAGTCCAACACACACACACACTATGGTATCGAGCCGCGCCGCGAGCTTATTCGGGGAATAGCCTGGTTTATTCCGACTATTTGTCAAAAGGAAAGAGCTGACGCGACGTAAAGCGAGCTTTGTGGTTGAAAGGGAAACCAAGCCAAGGAACATTGAGTTAGAGAAAAAGTTAGCGGACAGGATCAGCCATGCTACTTAGGGTTGTTAAAGGTTACAGTCGTTGTTCTACCTTTTCTCCCGCCCGTCTCTGCTCTTCTTCAACAGGCGTCATAATTCAGCAATGTCAACCAGCTTGCCAGCAGTAGAGTTTCCGCACCACGACTCCTGTCGCGATGTGACGCGATCTGAGCACTTTTTGCGCCCGATTCTCGATTACTATCAACCAATCGATAGTATGTCTATACCTGAGTCGTACCAAGGTCTTAGAATCTAACTATCATTTCAAACTTATACTATTTGAATACCTACGATTCACGTAGTCAGACCTAGATGCACCAAACTTAGTAAGGCAGAGAGTATGACCTCGGTTAATATAGACAGGTGCATGTATGTCTGCTTGATAGTCTACCAACTAGAAAGGGCAATGTCTTTATTGCTTTTAAATTGTTCCTAAGTTCGCACTAACCATATTTCCCCCTCTTTTTTGGTGGGTAAATAGCTGTCCATAAGTTATTGGCAGTAGAGGTGGCCCAACAGGGTCCATCTAGTGTCAGCAAATTCGAGATCCAGGATATCCTACCGCACCAAGTTATCACGAGAACAGAACTAATGTCGCAACAGACGCTGGACAAATCACATACCTAACAGGTCCAGAACCTCTGAGCGTTCGGGCCACAGAGCCTTGCTGCATAATCATTCTCTAATGCCTCTTCTTGTATGTCGATCCGTGCCCTCCACGCATAAGAGCGTGCACACTAGACCAATGAACTTATGGCCTAAGAGGCACAGCGGTCGGCAGATTTAGCCTTCTGAGGAGTCCTGTCACGGGTATCGGCACTGTACCGATTTTTACCAGCAGGTTTCCAAAAATTTATTAAAAACGTACCGTCATTTTCCAAGGATCCTTTGGCAGTTCACACAAACGAAAGCTTGCTTAGGGAAGCATAATATGATGCACAGGTTGCCTTTAAATAATGATGTATGCACGCATATGCATGAAAACGCTCATTCCACCCAGTTCCTAGGTCTCAGAAGCATGAACATTATTGCATTTGGAAGACTATTCCGCTCGGAGGAATATTGCCTTTGGAACATCTTCGGCAATAGTTAAGACCAAAGGAGTAATGCTATATCGCAGATAGAGAATTGAAAGAGTTATACTAGTCTTAACTAGGTATTTGAGCAAAAATGGATGGACTGTTTAGACCTGGGACAAAAAATTGGATTGCCAGATACAGATACACAGGAAATATCGTGCTAGACGTTACAGACATCTTGAAGGTGCGCCACAAGAACCACAAAACAAATAGGACCGCCAGGAACTGTCGTAGGGGGGAGCACATATTATTCATCACCTCAATTATCAAGGCGCAAGTGTAGGAGGCCGGCCAGCCTTTTCCTAAAAACGGGACAATTGCTCTCCTAAGAGATCCAAGCACGGGCCAAATGCTACAGCAGCATATGGTAGCCCTTCTAAGCTGAGGTTGCCATGGAGTATAGATTTGCGCAGATCTTCCTTAATTCCGCACAACGCGTTTTCAGCGCCTTGTATGACAAAATTAATCATATACTTGAAAAGGTCCGAATTCCCATTTCGTAAATGGCCCAACAGCATAAAAACGTCTCCCAGAAGTGAATATAGATCGCATGCTTGTCCAAATTGGGTCTGGTCGAACTTGGGTCTTAACTATTCTCTAAGTAAAGTTTGGAGTGTTTTGATAAAGCTTGTGATAAAGTTGAGCAGTATCATCTGTCGGCCCGACTGGTCACCCTGAAAGCATATCCAGCAGACTCTTCGGGTCTCTTTGAGCAAGGAAAATAGGTCTTGCAAGAAGATGTTGCTTGGACTTGTCGTGGGAGTACTAAGCCACAGGCCACCTCGTGAGTTTCACCGGAAAGTCGTCTTTTCCCATATTCTTGATCTGAAAAAGGGTTCCAAAAGTTGTTGCAGGTTTGTTTCACTTGCGGGTCTCGGATGGAAAATGCAAATGCGTAATCAACCTTCTTGCTGACTGCATTCTTGTGCGGTAGGCGTAGGAGGAGACAGGGGTCAATACTCTGTGTTTGTCTGTTCTTTAGTTAATGGCGAGCCTCCTGCCATAGATAGACATCTAATACTAACACGTTTTTCACTTGAAATATAATATAGCGCTTAACGCCTCTTCAGAGGACCGCCTGGATTACTCTAGAGCCCCAAGCATTCTTATCCTGTCTATATTCCTCAGCCTCGGCAGCCTTGTTGTATATTTCCGCTACGTCCTACTATAACGCATCAAGTTCCTCCGGTGTCGAATTGACGGCATCGTAAAACGCCGCGTCTAGAATATCTATAGCTTCGTCAGGGACTTCGGTACTGATTTTATCCTAAAATTATACGAAGCTATATTAGTAAGTGCGCCAGCTATAATTTTGAGGAGCAGTCAGGTCACCTTAAGCGGAGCCGAAATTAAGGCCGAGAGCGTGCCGAAGGAAACGAACGGAATCGGGAAATAGGACACACTTAAGCCGACTATAGTAAATAAATAGGCTTAATAGAGGGAGCTCGTTAAATAAGTCTCGTACGGGGCTTCGTTATCGTAAGGTTCTAGATGCTCTGAGTGGAAGGATCGAACCTTATACGATTAGTAAAATTAGTAAAGCGAGCTAGTTATATTATTATAAATCTTGCGTTTTCGGGACGTTGATGTTCCCTTATGCGACATCTTTCGCCGTTTCGTTTGATAGCCACCGTCGATCTTGGCTAACGGGAAGTGTTAAATTCTATTCTAGAATCCTACTAAGCCAGGAATTAATATCTTTTAGCTCTATTCAAATCTCGTAAAAACGATATCAAAGGACGATAGTCTCGCGTTTATTGTCCTGGATTATCCCGTTGTTGAGGAATCCAGGAACTAGAATCACGTGGAATGGCTTGGCCGACGCCATCGCCATAGCGTGGCCATGATGCGAACACGTCCAGCTGTCATTGGGAAGTGTTCGGCGGTAGCTCCCGGCAGAAATCCCGAAAACTCCCAGCTGGTTCCATCGAAGAACGCAAAGCCACAAAATGTAGCCGCTGTATGTGGCTAGGTAGCAAGCAACACGAAAGCCGGGACTCTACTTCCGACGAAAGTTGCGAGGAAAGGCCACGTCAGCAGGACAGGCTTGGCGGGTGAATTTTAGAGGGCTTCAGGGCGTTCAGGTGAAGGACTGAAGACAGGGCGCCACGGGCGCTAAACTCCACGAGTCAAAAACATT